GACTACCAGGTGACAAGTTGTTTGGCTGTGGTAACTCATAAAAACCATTGACCTAAGATATGAAAGGGTTGGGATCTGAGCCATTGGAGGGAGCAGCAACAAAATCATGGATCCTCAAAACACCATAAACATAAACTTAGAAACTTACCAAGTATCATAGACACCACAAAGATTAATGCAATTTAAGAAATCTAATACTGTTCCAGGGCCTTCACATCTGCTTTTCATGAATTTTGCATGAAAAGGGTAGGAAAGGGTGAGAGAAGAGAAGGGGATAAAGTGGATTTCCCTAGGTAGTTAGTATATTTACCAAGGCTTCAGACCACGTACTGATCACTGAAATATGGAGACTTTTCCTAACAGTATGGTCCACAGAAAGAACTTGTCTGGATTTGGGTTCAAAAGACCTGAGTTTGAATCCTGCCTCTGTTCCTTGGTGCATTTGCAACCTTGAGAAATTCCCTTTATCTCTCTTGCTCTCAGTGTGTTTATCTATAAAATGAGACCGTTAAAGACCTCCAAGGTCCCTTCCAGACCTTATGAATCTCTGAATCTATGAAATCTCCTTACTTCCAGGGAAGTGAAAAACTTTATCAAACTTTTATATCATAATAGAAATAAATGAGATTGGGAAATCCTGTGTTCCTAAAATCAGGAAATTAACTTGAGATACAGCACCTGGTGACCTGCTGGATGTGTCTATGGCACTGTCGTGTTTCAGTAAATAAACTCCCCTGTCAATGAAGGGCTAACTTCTGAGAGTGTCCTAAGACAGGTGTCCTCTCTCCTCTCCCTCAAGGCTCCTTGACATTTTCCTTTGTCTCTTTCCATGGTCTACCTCATTAAGACTAGAGAATCTGAGTCTGTCAACAACTCATTTGCTTGGAAAAAAGTGAAAGGAAGCATATTCTGATCAATCTCTTAGGGCTGAATATTTAGACAAGGTCTTTCTGTGTGATCCTGGGCAAATCACTTAACTTCTCAGTGCCCTAGGTATATAAATTGCAGAGAAGGTGCTGACTTAACATTGGTAAGGGGAGTATACTCATCTGAGCATTTCTTATACTAATGAAATCAAAGGTCCAGTACCTACAATCTCTCCAGGAAGAAGTTGAGTGATTTTTTTTTAACTCCAGCATGTTACCTAAGTTGTTTCTGTTTGGGTCTCTTCTCCTTCTAATCAGCATTGTGTAGCGGCTAGAATGCTACTCTCAAAACCAAGAAAATAGAGATTCAAAATGCCTCTAGCATTTGCCAGCTATTTGACCAGGCTTGAAGGCATTTTCAACTTTTCTGAGACTTAGCTTCCCCATCTGTAAAATGGGACTAATAAATATCTGTGGCATCTGACTCACAGGACTGTTGTTACACTCAAATGATATCATGTATGTAAAGCCCTTTGCAAACTTTAAATGCTATATAAATGTCAGCTGTTACTTTTTAGCCCTGAAAACTGTTTATGTCAAATATGAACTTTTGAAATCTAGTTATTCTTCACTGACATTTTATGACTTATCGGGGAAGAATTTCATGAGAAAGGAAAATTTTCCTTTAAATGTTTTTAATGGGATTGTTGTATTGTTTAATGTGGTTTTATTATATCGAGGTTCAATTTTTTTCCAAAGAGAATACATAACCCAGTCTTTGATGAATCTCCAGTATAAGTAAACCAAAGCATAATAAAGAGACATATAATAGGTATGTCAGTATGCAGTAGATTAGCACTAAGAATGACTCGTGGGCAAAAAAAAAAATAGCATAAAATATTGACCAGTTAAAAAAAAAGTGGGCAGATCATCTAACAAGAGCAAGATGGACAGGGCAAACACAATGGATATCCACAAAATTGTGAAAGAACCAGGGTAAGGTCTCCAGTATATTAGATGGATCCTCTAGGGTGGATTCATGGAAAGCTATGGACATGGATTTATCAGAAAGAGGAAGTATGGAGAAGTTTCAATCTGCAAAGGTGGAAGGAGTATCTACACCTGATAAGATTATGGATCCCTCAAAGTGCTAAGTGGGAGAAGAGGAGAGTGGGGGGGGGAGAAGAAGAAGGAAGGAGAGGAGAGGGGAGAAGAAAAGAGGTGAGGGGAAAGGAGAAGGGAAGAAGGGAGGGGAGGAGAAAAGGAGGGAAAATGAAGAAAGGGGAGGAGAGGGGAGAAGCGGGTAGGAAAGGCAACAAGAGAAGGGGTAGGGAAGGAGGGAGGGAGGAAATATATTTTCATTTTGCCATTAACATGATTTAGCTATAATTACATAATCAAGCTTACCAGTACTACTACTCATCAGGCAACATACTATTATTAATGTTATTAATAGTCACAATAATAATTGAAGATACAATATTCAGAATTAAATTGCTGGATTTTTAGGGAACTGATTAGTTATAACCTAGAGATCTACTGGTCTCAGAAATATTATTTTAATCAATCATTTAATCAGTAAACCGGGAAGATTTCCCTTTCAAGGAAATCAAAATTCTGCACTCATGGAATGAAAAATGATAGCAGAAACTTCTAAAGAAGTATTAGGCTCTAGGAAAAGAAAAAAGACAGAGAGAAGAGCTATTGACACTGTCCTAACCAAAACCTTAATTAGATGAAAGCGAAAATAAATAAATATAAGTATTTTAACTGAGCTAATGTCAAAATTTTGTACAAACAGATTTTATAAATAAAGACATAGAGACAAAGAAAAATGGAAAGAAGGAAGGAAGGAAGGAAGGAAGGAAGGAAGGAAGGAAGGAAAAGGAAGGAAGGAAGGAAGGAAGGAAGGAAGGAAGGAAGGAAGGAAGGAAAGGAGGGAGGAAAAATCAAACAAATTTTTAAATGCCTGTTACCTAAACTATAGCAAGAAGGTAAGTTAGATCCTCAGTGCCTAACACTAGGACGGGCACTGCAGATGGATGATGCACTGGTCTCAAAGCTAAACAGGCAGAGGGTAGCAAATGAAATTGCATTTGAGAGACTGCCCAGAGCTTTCAACAACCCCAAACTGCCCCCAATATAAATTTCATCTTTTAGCACTAATCTCCCAGTGATGCTTTATAGTTACATACAAGAAAACACCACAATTCATGAAGAATCAGAATTTCAGGAGCCCTAAAGGGCAATAAAGAGATGAATTGTGGGTATAAGTAAGCAGCAACAGTGACTTGGGTACTAAGAGGTGTAAGGATGTCATCCAAATGCATGAACAGACTAGGAGGTGGTTCAGTCATATAGCAAGAGCAAGAGACAAGAAATAGACAGTGCAGATGTCGCACTGTTACTCAGAAAATGTTTTAAAAAACCAAGAAGGTCTTTAGGGCATTGAGTAGGTTTTTTATGGGGGATTTATAGAAGGATCTATACAGTAGTGTGGGTAGCTAGGTGGTAGAGTACATAGAGTGCCAAATCTGGCCTCAGACACTTACTGACTGTGAGACCCTAAGAGAGTCACTTAAATCTGTTTGCCTTAGATCCTCTTCTGTAAAATGAGCTGGAGAAGGAAATAGCAAACCAGTCCAGTAGCTTTGGGGCCAAGAAAACCCAAAATGGAGTCATAAAGAGTCAGACACAACTGAACAACAATACAATGGTGTACTGGTAAATGTTTAACAACAACAACCAAAAAGTATGCATAACACACTTTTAAGTTGAATCTGTGTTATAAACATTTTCTCCAACATTTGATCATATCTAGACAATCAACAAAACAATACATTAAGCCCTGATTTATAGAGATTGCTACTTTGTACACATTAGTGTTCATACTGAAAATTTAACAACAGCTCCCCCAGGCCCGTAGGAGCTGGCTCTAACACACCACTGGATCCAGACAAAAATAGCATAGGTTAAGAAAGAGTTGATGGACTATGTTCTATACTGGAAGGGAGTACCCACAATGATGAGTTCACAAATTCACTGAAGTAGTTGGATATGTAAATTACGATCAAGTGATAACAACTGATACAGCACTATTCCATCTTTGTTCTTCCTCAGTGCCTGGTACATAAGTAGAGAATAAATACATGTTTACTGACTAGGAATTGTGAATGAACTATGAGATTTAGAGCTGGAAGTTACAATTATTTTACATGTTATCTAGTCTATCTCCTGCATTTTAGAGATCAGGAAAATGGAGCTCACAAAGATGAAGAGACTGATTCAAAACTCAATAGCTTGTAAGTGGTAAAGCTAGGAGTAAAATAATACCTAGTTATTTATATAGCACTTTCTCATATGATCCTCACAACTTTGTGAGGTAGGCACTATTATTATCCCCATTTTATAGATAAGGAATCCAAGACTGAATGCTTAGGGGTTACACAAGCTCTAGTAAGTATCTAAGGCAGACTTTTCCAGACTCCCTTTCCAACAGTTTTGTCCACTATGGTACCGAGCTGCCACTGAGGCCAAGTCTAGTGCTGTCTTTGAGATTCTAACATTTTTTCTCTCTACTTAAGAAATCTCACAAGAGTTCTTACCTTGTTCAACATCAAGTAATGGGGACCTACTATTGTAAAGGACCCACTAATAAGAAAATCTCTACTAGGGGCAGAAAAGAATCACCAATAGAATGAATTGCTAAGCTAAAGAATTCTAAATGACTTGGCCCAGTGCCATTCTGACAATAAGGGTAGAAATGGCCTTATGTTAAGACACAAGTATGCTTAGCTCTAGTGTTTCTCAAGCACATTTGCATTATTAACTAGATAACCCCATAACATGTGGGTAAAGAAGGAAAATATTACGGTCATAGATTTAATATATCTTTTCATAGATGCTAGAACAGAAGGTGATATTAAAACTCCTCCAGTTCCACCCCTTTGTGGGCAGGGATTGTGTCATTTCATCTCTGGATCCCCAGCACCTAGCACAGGGTACTGTGAAAAATATGGGCTTAGTAAACAGATTGGATCAAACCCACTCATTTCACAAGTGAAATAAACAATAGATTCTCTCGTGCCCTCGGAGTTGCCATGGAGATATGCCTACTGGTCAGAATGGAAATACCTCGGCGACTTTCTTCTTGATCCTCAGGGATGTGGTCCTGAGCTGAGAGTCCAGACAGACGGACTGACAGCCTGGTCCAGGCCTGTACAACACACGTGGGCCGCTTGTAGCATTCCAGAGGATTCCCGGTCGCTGGCACGTGACCCGTGGCAACCAACCGTCGTCAGGCTGCCTCAGGTGACAGCCTCCCGACACCCTGGCCCCAAGCCGCCCGCAGGCCAGGTGTTGTGCAGGTCTAGCCTAGTCCCTTCCATTCCTGAAAAAGGGAGAGGGTGGCTGAAACTCAAGAGAGTCAGCCAGAAATCCCGACTCAGGCTTGCCCAGACAGTGGTCATAACTTCGAGACGAGGGAAAGACACATCTTCCCCCATCCCTCATGGGAAGCCCTAGAAAGAGAGGGTTATATTCCACACATTCTGGAGAGTGGAAGGAAAAAGTCCCAGAGGCAATCACTCCTTTTAGGGTCTACCACGTGGGCAGCCTTTCCTAGCCCAGTATCTGAGCCTTCTACATACCGTCTAGCCCACCATGGAAAGAGGGGAAGGGGGGGGGGAGTGAAACCAAGGGACCCCCTAAAGTTTGCTGCGTCATCAAAAAACACCCCAGGGCTGAGCTAGAACACAAGTAGTACAGGAGAATTGGTCCCGTGTTCTGTGAGAGGAAAGGGAGGGGTTCACCAGTTTGTCCCCATTACATATATGTGAAGAATAGATTATGACCCAGAGTTCTTCAGCACAGTGTTTTAACCTTAGTACTTAATAAATGATTTTTTTCATTAATTCATTCATTTCTTCTGGTATGAAATGAAGTGATAATCCCATATCTTTCGCTGTATGTGTTGTGGATGTGTGCTCCTGTACACATGTCTCACAGTGGAGACATAGCAGACTGGAAATATAGGCTCAATGATAGGGTTATAGCTATGGTTACACTTATCTGCAGCACAGATGAAAGGAGTGGGGTGGGGAAGAACACAATAATGAAATTGAAGTTGAAAAGTATTTGGGAGGGTACCCCTTCCTAGTCTACACCAATGATTTAAGTTCTAGAAAAGTAAAAAGTATATGGGGAAATAGGATCAATGTCACACCTATTTTAGAATATGGGTTCATGAAGGCTCCTATACCATGCTTTACCGTGATTTATTATATCTCACCCTATCCCAAGACTGAGGCAAGTGTTCCAAATTCCTAGTGTCCAGTTATCAGAATCATGAAAAACACTTAGCTTATTTTTCCAAGTTAAAGTTGTTCCATAAGGCTTAAATAACTGGACTGAGGGACCAACAAGCTCATCCTTGAATCTTTCTCAGTGATCCATGAAAATTATTGACCACCATTCCATAACCATAAACACCTTGGTGAAGAATATCAGCTGCACCATGATCCATTAAAGTGATTATATGTAGGTATAGCTTAGGTCAGTCTGAGCAGAAGTCTCCACAAAGTGCCTTTGTGCTATTCTTTCTCTAACTGTTCATTTCCCAAATGGAGCAAATGTTCAGATTGCATGCACAAACACACACAGAGAAAGACATGGGATTATCACATTATTTCGTAACAGAAGAAACATGGGGCATGTTCCAGGACCCTTAAACCAACTTTCAATCTCTCTTTGTTCTGCATTATGTTTTCCAGAGCCATGCCAAGTATTTAGTATACCGAATCCAAGTCAATTACTATCTCTGATTATGATTAAATAGATCCGATGGACTGATTAAGATTTCCTATTATATTGCCTGCCAACCTTGCTGAATTCCTTCCTTTAGTCTGCTCCTTTACCTTTCATGCCTTCTTGATTAGTACATTTAGTAGCAATACTTTAAATTAAAGTGGCACTCCTGCCCAAGCAACTTAAATGGAAGCATTGCTTTGGGCTGGACTTGTAGTATCAATGTTCTTAGATACATTCCTTGGCGGTAGCTAGAGTGATTTGCTCAGGATCACATAGCCAGTATGTATCAGAGACAAGACTTGAGCCCAAATCTTTCTGATTCAGAAGCCATCTCTTTATGCACTATGCTACACATACTGTCTCATTACTATTAAAAAAAAATTAAAGTATGACTGTGTAGCCAAACTCAGATGTATAAATGTATGCTACCCTCTTAGATCCAGTTGGCCTATTGACCTAGTCACAGCACATTTCAAATTCTTGCTTTATGTTGTTGCTAACACAAATCAGTTGGGATTTACTAAGCACCTGTATTGCATTTTCAGCTAAATATCTGAATGTTTGGCATCATGCAGACACAAGCAAAGTTTGCTCTTATCTGTCCAGTGAATTCATCTTAACCTACTTAGTAATTGTAACAATGGACATTAGCAATCATTGTTTTCCATTTCCACCAGTCTAAGAGCCCTGCCCATAAGCAATGGGACTTAGTGGGTTAATGGCCAGTTATTGCAAGGGAGCTATTGTATGCTGTGGTTGTCAATGGGAGATATAGGATAGTGAGGAGAGAGCTGAAAACACAAAATCGGAGGGAGTAGCCCCTGAGTGGAAACCAAACAGACTAAACTGATGGAGTCAGGCTGCCAAGAGAAACAGACAACGCTATACAAAACAGGTGGACAGGAAAATAAATACGAAAAATTCAATAAAGTCAATTCAACTTTCACTTTCAGATTGTTGAGTCTAGTACATTCATGGCACTAAGTAGGCACTTAAGATAGAAAGGAAAAAAGTTACAAACTCTGTTTGCAGGGAGCTTACGTTTCATAATTAAGAAAAATGTGATACATACATAAATATATAGATAATTTGAAAAATCGGTCAACAAGCATTTATTGAGTCTTTTCTAGGTGACAAGTACTATGCTACGGACTAGGGATACAAAGACAAAAGTTTCTGCCTTTAAGGAATTTCTATTTCAGTAGGGAGGACAACATGTATACCCACAGGTATATACAAGACACACGAAATGAACATAAGTTAACTTTAGATTCCAAAGAACAGAGATGCAGAGAGAAAGCATTTGAGACATGGGGGACAGCCAGTGTAAATGTGAGGAGCAGTAAGTAGACAGTATGACTGGATTGTAGAGGATGTGGAGGGGTGTAAATGTGTAAGACAATTGTTGATATTAGAACGGGCCAGGTAGGGAAGGGCATCAAATGCCAGACAAATGAGTTTATATTTGAGTCTAGAAGCAGCAGGGACCCACTGGAGTTGGTTGAGTGAGGGTGTGGGGGTGACATAGTCAGACTTATACCTTAGGAAAGTCACATCTGTAGCTGAGTGAAGGAGGGATTGGAGTATGGAAAAGACATGAGGCAAGAACAATTAGAAGACTATTGCAATAATCCAGGTGAGAGGCACTAGCCACCTGAATCTTGGCAGGGGTGGGGGTAAGGGGAGGTTGCTGTGTGAGTAGAAAGACTATGTAGCATATTAAAAATTTATCGTGGAAATAAAAATGATGAGATTTGGCAACTGGTTGAATATGAATAGGGAGTAATGGGCATAAAAGAGAGATCAGACAAAATGCTCAAGAAAAGGTAGATCAGTGAAGGCTTCACAAAGAAGGTTGCCCCTTAGCTTATATTAACATGAGAGAAGAATTTTCAAAAAGTATATATACAAAGGGAGTGTATTTCATTCACGGGGGTACCTTGAATAAATGAATAGAGAAATAAGATGGCATCTCTATTCTAAGGAATGGCTAGTACAGCCAGGTCCTGATTGTTGTAAATAATGAGTCCCCTTAAGTAGCTGGGAATAAGGAGTGTCCTGAAGTAGTCGTATTATTTGAATTTCCACTGAATATTTCCACTGGGGTAGAATCAATTACCATATTTTACATAATTATAACTTAGAATGGTACAAATTCAATTCCAATACATGTAACCACTTCAGGAGTTCATTATTGCCACCAATTGGGACCAAGTTGTCTAGCATTTAAAGTATTTGAGGGAAGTAATACAAATAGAGCTGGAAAGGGAGATTGGAACCAAATTGTGGAAGGCTATAAAGTCTAAGCTAAATAATTGTATTTATCTTTGAGGCCAGCTGTTCACAATCTTTTTTTTTTTAGTAAGAAACTCCCTGGTTGAAAATAAAAACAATTTCATAATAGAGGTTCCAAGTAATGTCCATTGAGTGAGATGATACATGACAAAATGAAAAGTCTTGGTATGAATGCAGATTATTCTTGGGGAGCTCCATTATAATAATTCCATAGCCCTCAAACAGTCTGTAAACCTTGATGGCCATAGGAAATAAGGACCTACTGAAGGATTTTGAACAGAGAATATGATTAGAACAGTAACTATAAAATATCATTTTAGCTGCATTGTGAAGTGTGGATTGGAGGGAGTAGATTCAGGAGGCAAAGAGACAAGTTAGGAGGCCATTACAGTAGATCAAGAAGAGGTGACAAGGTGCTGAATTAGGATGATAGAAGTGTGAGATCCACTGAATTATATCCTTGTCAAACCTTGTCTAGAATACTGGGTTCTATTCAAAGTACCATCATTATATATTTTTAAAAGACTAGACTGAATGACTACTTGTCATATATGCTATGGTGAAGATTCCTTTCATATGAGATCATTAGTAAATGGGACAACAGTGAAGCATTAAAGGAACAGACTCCCAGAACGCCAGCAAGGGGGCGGTATCCAGGAATTAGGTGCTTCATAAATGCTTCAGATAGGTCAAGGAGCAGGAAGACTGAGAAAAAGCCATTGAACTTAGCAATTAAGAAGTCATTAATGACCTTTGAGAAAATAGATTTTGTAATATGGTGGGGACAGAAATCAGATTGCAAGGTATAGAAGAGTGAATGGGCAGTGAAGAAGTAAAGGGAACAATCTAAGTAATTTCCTCTTTCTAGGATTATGGCAGTAAAAGGAGAAGAAGGAGGAAGAGGAAGAAGAGGAAAAGAAGGAGAAGAACAAGAACAGGAAGAAAAGATAGAGGATGATGCCTTGAGACAGGGTCAGAGGGGTTTGAAAAAAAAATCCATGAAGAAACCAAAAGCCCATGGGGCTCAGTCACAGGGAAGATAAATTGTTGCATGAAAGTTCAAGCCTTCCTTTGATGGAGGACTTGAATCATCAAAAGGACACTAAGTAAGGAGTTGACCCAGAAAGAAACTTCAATTTTTTCCGTACAGAGATGGAAAAGTGAATTTCTTCATAA